GAGAGCAAGTCTTTGTTGTAAAATGTCAATGCTGTGTTTCCCTTTTAAACAGATTTCACTACCTGCCTTTCTTATGTAAATTTAATATTGGGCATCGCTACAGTAAATCAAATAGAAGATCAATTATTACTTTTATATTTTTCTTTCTTTTTTTTATATTAAAAGCCACCGTGTGTGTGTGTGTGTGCATGTGTGTGTGTGTTACTAAAATACAAAGTACAGGGAAAATGACTTGTAATCTATATTCCATGGAGCATCAAGGAAGATGACCATAAGTATAATACTTGCCTCTGGATAGTACTCCCTAGAGCAAGCTTTCACATACTTTATTCAATCATTATAGCAGGTAACAAAGTATACACGTGAGCACTCAGCCATAGGCTCCCAAACTAACAGGAGGCTTCCCATCTTCAGAAGTGAGGCTACAAGAGCGAAGGGTGGTCTGCTGAATTGCCCGGAGTCTGTGGGTTTCTGCTTTCTCACATTGCTTCTCTGGTGCATGATTGGCTCTCTCCATCTGGTGGTGTGGTGTGGTTATGGGTTAGGCTGCTCACTACAAGGTAAGCAGTTCAAAACCATCATCCACTCCTCGGGAGAGAGAAGGCAGATTGATAGACACCTGTAAAGAGGGACAATCTGGGAGGCTCACAGCGGCAGTTCTACTCGGTCCTAAAAGGACCACTATGGGGCTGCCTGGTGAGTTTGGCTTTGTTTCTCATAAAGGTAGCTCCTCACACAAATGTTCCCTCGTCTGGGACCAGCAGCTTTGCCTTGAAGCCTGGTTTCATCCACTGTGCACACACGGTCTGCTGTCCGAATCCGTTGGCTAGTGGCCATTCCCATCCATTTGCTTCATTTTCAGGAGAAAAAAAAAAAGCATATCCGTGTCCAAAAGCCAGTTGAACAATCAGTTCCAATTCACCTTGCCCCCTTATCAACCAGAGAAGACCTGGGCTCCCTAGGGTTTCATTGGTGGGTTTGGGGGGAGTCGATGGCCAGGCCTTTCTTCTGAGGCACCTCCGGTTGGACTCCAATAGCTAACCTTTCACTTAGCAGCTGAGGACTTACCAGTGTGCACCATCCAGGGACTCCCTGTTTGTGTCATAAGGCATTGAAGATGCCTAGAAATGTGTGTGCCTTCCAGTCTTTGGGAAAAGAAGTGAACTATTTTTCTGACTGTTTCCACTGGGTGCATATTGTATGTTTAGGAAATACTGTTTGAATTGCACAAGACAGTTACCCAAAAAATAGAGCTAGAGATCTACTGTTGTATCTCTACAGATTAAAGACCATGGCTGTGTTTCATAACCGGATCAAAAAGGCTAGTGAGTGGAGGGTGTGCCTCACAGTTAGAAAAGTCAGCGCTCCCAATTCAACTCCACCACTTACAACTCTTGTGGCCTTGGGAAAGTTACTACCCTCCCCGAGCTATAATTTTCTTTTCTGTAAATACCATCTACCTTACAGGATTTTATGCAGATTAAATTAGACAGTGTGTATACAGAGTCAGGCACGCAGCAAACACCCAACAATTTACCCTTCCCTGCCCTCTGCGTCTGTTTGAGAATGGGGCATTCGAATCAAGCTGGCCTGTGTCTGGATATTTCAGCATGATTCGCACGGCCCTGGAAGCAAGTCTAAGACAGCAGGGGTCGTGGCTTTATTTCATTGGCATGTGCCACACGTGCGGCGGCTGCCTAATGTGCAGTTCTCCTTCCCCCTGTGCCTCCCCAGCTCACTGGGGTAAACGGGGCGATAGAAAGGCAACACGGAGGTGAAGGGGTCTTTGTCCAGTCACGTCCGCTCATTTTGAAAAATGCTCTTGACAGTAACATGGGACGGGATTTGGGGTGTTCGATACCTTCAAGTGTTTTGCAGAGGAAACAGGGCAGCTTTAATGTATGTAAATATATGACCAGGTCCAACCTCCCCTTTTCTGAGCAGACCCTTTATATTACCTAGCGTCAGCGGTCATCCCACGCAACTCTGTGGAGCGTGACACAGATGCTTCACAAATTCGATTCTTTAATGGAAACGTTAACATTTCGTGACGCGTGCGTTTGTCATTAAACTTTTATAGTAAGCACTTGAAACAAATGTTTTAATATAGTCTTCGAATTACCCTTTGAGCTCCCAATACAAAGCTCCTTATTGGGGCAAAAATGCAATTAATACTTAAAACAGCACCGTTCACCCCTATTAAGAGGGACAGCAGCAGACCCGGAATGTCTGCGCTGCTCTTGGGCGCTGTGGCCGGTCCCACTGCCTCTCACTTGGGGCCCAGATCATAGATTCCATCCTGATTCAGTCCTGAGACTTTCCTCAGCCTGTCAATTGATCGCAGAGGCTGAAACAAAGCCGGTGAAAATATACGCCCTCCTCCCTTCCCCTGAAGGAGCCCAGGTGGGCCAGTGGGCGCACGCATCCTGTGGTTCAGCATTACGTAGTTGCTCAGTGCCTTTTAGAATGGAAAACTAATGCTTGAAGGTCAGGGTAGTCAGAGTTGGGGAAAGGCTAGCAATGATACCAATCGAACAATAGTTTTTCAATATGATGCAAGTAAATATGAGAAAAGTGGCTTTTGGCAGCCTTTTAAAAAAGTCTCCAGGATATAGTACAGCATTGACTGTGACTCCTGAGAAGAAACAACTAAAGAAAGAAGGAATCAGCATTAGAGATTAGCAGGATCATTTATCCCTCGATACATACATACTAGACTTGGTTAAGTAATATCAGCTCCTTAGAAGAACAGCTTTCTAAAGCTGGATGCTCTTTGACTTGATCAAAGTGAGACCTGTAGGTGTGTGGTGTTTATTTTATGTCTGCGTGTGTGTGTGTGTGTGTGTGTGTGTGTGTGTGTGTGTGTGTGTGTGTTCCTGTGTTCTCTGAGGCACTCTCAGCTCAGTTAGCATGAGAGAGGGTCCAGAGAAGTGACTTTGTAAAGCATGAGTGCATAAATCCTTAACATTCTTGGATTTAAGAATATAATGTGTTCTTCATAGTGTTTTACAAACATGGGCCAGAGAGCTATTAGATCAGGAATCAGGGTGGGAATGATCATCTGCTAAGAGTTAGAATTTAATACTCACATGTAGTCGGAGATGAAGCAGCTATTCCATGCTGTATCATAGAGAGAAATAAATAGACATATAATCACCTTACTGTCAGGTGTCGTGGGGCCTTCGGATGTGCTGGCGATGGTCACTGGAGCCCCTTAGTCCAAGTAGTGGGAAGAGAGAAACTCCACAAGTAGCCAATGGTCAGACTGTTTTCTTTCCAAACACAGTGCAAACATACTATGTAATAAATAGGTCAGCATGAAACAATAAAAATAAATAAATCCCAAAAGTAGAAGGTGAACATCCGCTGAATTATCATTTTTTATTTCCTAATGCTATACATATACTCTTTCCACCTTCAGACTTGTTTTTAAGTTTAAAAGAAGGTATGTCTTACACACAAGCACAGGGCGCGTCCCATCTAAAATCTTCTAGGTTGCTCTCAATGTGTTGTATTGATTCCCCCTTCTAAGCAGTGGCTTTTGAATGTGAGGGCTCTGCAACTCATGGAACGAGAGATCGCTCCTAGTCACAACCTTCATGTTTGCACAGGAACTTGAGCTCCTGGGAGGTTTACTGTCTCCATACTGATGTCTTGGGCTTTGATTTCAGCACATGTGATAGTGTGCATTTTGTATTCGCAAACAGTACACTTTGGGAGTCCAGTCTCCTATTTGGGGCTGATTCTCTACAGAGAAATCATTTGAGCACTTGGTATAGAAAGAATCTGATTGTTTGTACCATATATACATATGAACAATTATATACACACACCCCACACGCACACTACTCCGTCCTATACCAGCCTTCTGTAGAGGCTGCTGAAGAGCATATACCGACAGCTGACTGGATGAAGAAGACATTGGGGGGGGGGATTCCCATTGTTTAGATTTCTGTCGAGGATATAAGAATATTTAATTTCTTTTGTCTCCAGGGCTTTCATTATTATTTAAATTTCATTTTACATTAATTGATCAGGGATTAGTAAAGCCATTATGCAGAAATTAGAATAAGACAAGCCAGATGGAATGAATAATTCATGAAGTCCAATTACATTTTATTTCTGGTGTACTTTCAAACTTGCTTCTGACTTCTGTGCTATTTTGATGTGACAATATTCACTGGAAATCAAAAGTGCCGTTTTAATTTATTGCATCCCTCTGGAAGGGAAGCATTTGTACGCGATGGGGGTGCATTAATACATTTTCCCCTTAAACATCAATTTGAGGGTCTGGGAGACACTGGGTGATCTACAAAATAAGGCTCACTTCTAGAAGGTGGGAGCTACCATGAGCCACCAATCTATCTGTGTTTGGTCAACTAGCCCTATGTAAGGTGGCAAGGTCTGAGGACAGATGCTTTACCCTTACCCCCCACCCGAAGAGCTCCAATCTCCTCTAAAGTCTCCCCCCTGCCCCTCCATCACCCATAGCAAAGGAGCTATTAAAATAGGATTTGGGCCTGGAGTTGAACCGGGAACAGCGTCAGCCGTTGCAGCTACCGATAAGCACCGCCAGGTGGCAGGCGTTGCCTTCGATGCGAAGGCCTTGGGGCGGCCGGGCTTCCAGCGCGTCCCCACGGGTCCGAGTCCCGCAGAGGCCGGCTCCGTTCGGCCTCCGAGCCTGCGAGCCGCCAGCGAAGCCCCGTGAGAATTCCCAGCTAATGGGCCGTCATGGGGTCCACCTGTGTGGATGTCGCCGACGCCCGGCTCCCCGCGCGCGCGCGGCCACCCCAGCCCCCAGGACAGCCCTCCCCCGGTGGTGTTTCTGCCTGCCACCGGACAGTTCTAGCACATGAAAGCTCCGGGTCACCTTGTGGAGCACTTTCATCTCGGGGACTTTTATGACACTCGGGGAATGTGCAAAGTTTTTAATTAGGCTCGCTAGACAGCCCGAGGCGGCGGCAGCGCCACCAAGTCTTCACGGTCTCTCTGCTTTACAGCACAACAAGCCGCTCTACTCCTTTGAAGACAATGCAGATTACGTGTACGACGTCATGTGGTCCCCCGTGCACCCCGCGCTCTTCGCCTGCGTGGACGGGATGGGGCGCCTGGACCTCTGGAACCTCAACAATGACACCGAGGTGAGCGGCGGCCGGAGGGCTGGGAGGGGGCTGTGCTCGGGCCGCTCTCTCTGCCTGCATTGGGCCTGCTGTGGACAGATCCTCGAGCTGCAGCGCAAAGTGAGACCTGTAGGTGTGTGG